CAAAATATGTCAGATTAAAATATAAAATAACTCAAAAAATACTTAATAAAAAAAATACTTTATTATAGTGTTTTGGAAAGCTCTCGAGGTAAGCTACAAGAATATGTAATAAAAAACAGGGAGTTCCATTTAAGAAAACATCGACCACATTGACCTCACCTTGAAAAGACCACTTATGGTCAAATCCATATTTTTATCATGTGGTCCCCTCGAAACCATGCAACTTTTGTCTGAAACATTTTTTGATATCTCACTTCGTTTCCGAAAAATATGCCCGCGTTACTATAAATGCCGCACCCTGTATATATGTAATGTCATTTACAATATTAAATCACGTCTACTATATATTCTCTATTCTATCCGTCTAGATAGAACATACACGCGAAGTTAATGTAACTATTATATAATGTGGAACCAGAAACTAAATTTTTCTACATTGCCTAAAAATTCGAGAACTGGTCATGATATATGTATTCTATATAGGACTTCTTTGTGATTTTTCTTGAATCGTCTATTATTTTAAAAATACAGAGAATGTATTCAGAAAATAGCAAGCCACGACACTTATTTTACTAAAAGATTTGTTGAAAAGTCTAAAGTCGACACGTTCTTAGCAAAAAAACTCCGATTTCACTCCTTTATAGTCTGTCAATATATCTTATTAATAGGTATAATCTATCTATGTATAGAAAATTATTTTTAGTGTTGCTGGTATATTTCTTTTTTCACAGTATTTTTAGAAAAATTACTTTAAAAAGATCAAAATAGAAGCTATTCGAAACAAAAATGCGATTTACAAAACATTTCTTATAGGAGTATACACTTATAGTCGTCGATCTCGTTCTGCGTTGTGAATATACTGTTTCATATTTCGCACTTTTCTTGCACTATTCCTCGTTCTCCATAACAATCGAAACATAACAGCGATACTACCACCGCAGCGAAATAATCACGCGTGCGTGAAAAACTAACGGTGCGGAAAAAATAAATTGCAGATAATTTTCGGTTGCAGACTACACCGGATGTTTCCATTCCCATGTTATTACCCGAATAATGCACAAGCGCTACCGATCGATTTTCTTGACGCCTCTGAAAAGTTCTCACTTCCGCGTTAAACATGTGCATTTTTCTTAAACATAATTCGTATCGATAATGCGAAGATAATAGCAACAAAATACATAATAGAAATAATCGAGACTCTTTAAAAAAGTGGCACCGACAACTATAGGTACATAATTAACTATCGAAAACGTGCTTTCGCTTCAACAGCCAGTTCTTCTATGTCCTTCCAAGTAAATGGAACATCCCGAGGAGCGCTACTACAAGTTAAACCGATTTCTTTTATCGGTTACTGGGTTATGGCCTTTTCAAAGCGAGTGGAGCGCTCGTTTTACAAGGACCGTTATCACTGTTGTCATGTTATTATGTATATTTGCTCAGGTAGTCGTGATTTTGAAACTTACATACATATATATATATATGTATATATATAATATACATATATGTAATATACATATATGTTTGCCAATGATATCGCGCGCTCAGATTCGTAACTACACATACATACACGCGTACCGATCTCTGTCATCTGTTATTGATTTTACGAATTAGGTAATATTGATTTTTACTGCACAGCTGATTTTATTGTTTCTTACGTGTATGAATATTATGTATGACGGTCAGTTGATATTAATGAACTATATATGTTTTACGTAAAATATTTAATTTTTTTTTAAATAATAATTTAAATGGTTGATTAATTATTATATTTAAATAGAAATATAAACTTAATATTTTCATACATTTAAGAAACGAAGTTTATTTTTGTTTTGATCGCGCGAAGAAGTTTTGTGGAAATAAATTTACTTATTTTATCTGTCAGCAATAACAGATGACAGATCAGTACTTAGGTAGCAAGTCACGTCTGTGTTACGTCATTATTTAGTCGACTGACGTCATATGACGAGAAATGACCTTAAAATAACGTTATAATAGCGACACCTTGTTACTTGGGTACGTATATAAATGTAGTTACGAGCCTGAGGGTGCGAATTCTACTGCAATATTATTGGCAAACTTTGATCACTTATAACTCAAAAACTATTGTAGCCTTGATATTTTTGTATTAAGATTTTTTATTCCATTTTGCCTCTAGAATACGCTATTAAAATATTGTACGGAGGTTGTGAGACACCCTGTATATATGTATATACATATATAATATACATATATACATATACAGGGTGTCCTAAAAGTACCGTATCTCCTCTTAATGGCAAATTTCTTAGAACATTTCAAGACGAAAATCCTAATACAAACATGTCGAGGCTATAATAGTTTTTAAACGGGAAGCGATTATATTTTACGAATGAGATAGCTGAGATTTTGCGCGCTCAGGTACAGCTAAATGACAAGCGAAAAAAGTGCTTCTATGAATGGTCTTTTTTATAATATTATGATTATCGTATAAATTTACAATAGCATTATCATTATGTTTTCCCGCTTCTTTACGCATTGCATTAGTACATTTTTTTACGAATAATGGATGCAAGAATTAAAACGATTCAAGTAAAAATTTGCAACATGTTTCAACTTCAGCTGTCAAAGTGATCGATCAATGTTACCATGAAGATATTTATTATTTCGCCGTGCCTGAGCGCACGAAATTTCAGCCTTGTCATTCGTAGAATATAATCGCTTCCCGTTTAAAAACTATTATGGCCTCGACATTTTTGTATTAGGATTTTTGTCTTGAAATGTTCTAAGGAATCTGCCATTAAGAGGAAATACGGTAGTTTTAGGATATCCTATATATACACATACATATATGTGCGTATATGTTTTAAAACATTACATATAATTATATGTATTATATATACTATTTTTTTGTATACATATTATACATTTTGGTAATTATGCATATTAGGGCCGACCTCACTGATTTCAATCACTTTGACATATATTGTCAAAGATACGGCCCTGAGTAATTTTCAAAAGATTTTAGCCGTCGCTCGTTGTTTATTAAAGAGTTATTAACAAAATAAGTTTAACAAATAGAACGTAATTTTCTGATACCATGTACATTTAAGAAGGAATATATTTGGTGGAATATGTGTTCAATACATAGTAAACATAATACTGCTTTCAATACGCTGTATTTGTTTATATTCTTCGTAAGTAAATTTACTACAAATACATATTAAAACGTAATAAATCTCCTCTGTTCACGCGTCAAATTAAAATAAAAGAAGTATTTTATAGTTTCATTTTATGGTAATTATGCATATTAAGGTCCCACTCTCGCAAGATAATGATGTTGACATATGTTGTCAAAGTCATGACCCTGATCAACATTCTGAAGATTTTAACCGGTGGTCGTTGCTTATTTAAAAGTTATTAACAAATAAAGTTTGAGAAGTATACCACGTAATTTTTGAACAACATGTATAAAAGAATAGTAAGTTTGACCTTGACATAACGAAAGTCGTGTTGTAAAGTATATGCGCGGACGCAATGGGTTCCGCCCCCCCTACGGGAGGGCTTCACTTTCGGAAGATATAACCTAACTTAAACCTATTTGATTTAAAACTAAAATTTGATTTGGATTAGGTTATATCTTCCGGAAGTGGAGCCCCCCCCC